TCCAACTCCAACTTCTTTAATCTATGAGAAATTAGGGACAGAAAAACCAATCCAATCTGATGCTATAGGCTGTAGTTTTATAAAGAGGTGACAAGCAATAATATAAATTATCATTCATCTCTTAAAATGCTAAATTTTACAGGTAGTCTAATTTAATCCTCACAACCTCCACAGGAAGTCAAGTCTATGATTCCCATTTTAAACAACAGGAAACTAAAAGAAGTTATGTAATCTGTCCAAGGTCTCAGAAAGTTTATGAGCTAGGACCTCAGAACCCCTATCTCAGCCAGTGACTACCTTGTGATCTTCGGTGAATTACTTCCACTTCACGAGAGAGTGTGGCTCAAGTCACCATTCTTCGTTTCCTTGGTGGCACGGTCTGATAATAAGCAAAAACCACACCTCCACCAGTCTTCCCTTTTGTGATCTTGGCTTCCTTACTGAGCTTTGGTAGAAGCCAGAGGATCAGCTTTGACTTTCAGGCATTTGGGGGTTCTGACTCTGGACCCTGTACTTGGCTTGCCTTAGTTCAACCCTCAAGCTCTTGGGATTTATTAGATGCCATCAAGTCAGTTCTGACTCATAACAAGCTCGTACACAACAGAATCAAACACTGCCTATGCTTGACCTCATTGTTGCAGCCACTGTGTCAATCTATTTCCTTGAGGACTTTCCTCTTTTTTGATGCCTTGAGCCTATTATCTGGCCTGGTTTCACCAGCTTCTACAGCCTTATGGACAAGGAGATTCCTCCAGACAAGAGATCTGAACTTTGAATTTGGGACATAACACCCACAGCCAACAGCCATTTCCTTCGTTTCATGAGTTCTGTGAGACACTGCAATGCAGCGAATTACAGCAGCCAGGGAGTTGAGGGAATACAGTAAGGGGAAGAGTGGTTGTTAATATCAGGGCATATGGAACATTGGAAAATCTTTAACCTCTATCTCCTCAGACTGGCCTGCTAATTCTGAGACCTTATTACCATACCTATTTTACTAACTACATAAAGGCATTAAACTATGTAAATTACAACAAATTCTGTATAATGTTATGAAGAAGGGAAGTCCGGAACACTTCATTGTACTCATGTGGAACCTTATACATAGGCCAAAAGGCAGTCATTCCAAAAGATCAAATTCACTGCCATCAAGTTGATTCCAACTTAAAGCAACCCCACAGCACAGGGTAGACGGGCCCCATGGTTTCCAAGACTAACACTTTATGGGAACAGAGGGCCTCATCTTTCTTCCAGGGAATACTAAATGATATAAAATCAGGGAAGATGTCAGGGTTGCATACTTTCATCATACTTATTCAATCTGGTAATAATGTGAGGAGATCAGCTATATTAAGAATGTGGCATAAGGATAGGAAGAAATTCATTAATAATCTGAAATCTGCAGATTACACAATCTTGCTTGCTGAAGTGTAGAGGGCTTGAAGCACTTACTGATAAGCACTTACTAATGAAAAACCTACAGTACAGATTACACTTCAAAATACAGAAAACAGGAAGTCCTCACAACTGGACCAATGACAGCATCACAATAAATTAAAAAAGATTGAGGTTGTCAGAGATTTTTATTCTACTTGGCTCTGCAAACAACGCCCAGGAAAGAAGCAGTTAAGAAATCAAATAGACCGTATGGGCCAAGTATGATGCAAAAGACTTCCTTATAATGTTAAAGAGCGTGGATGTCACTTACAGAACTACGGTATTCCTGACTCAAGTCATGGTATTTCAGAGCACCTCAAATGCATGCAAAATCTGGAAAATGATTAAGGAAAATCAATGAAGTAATTATGCCTTTAAAAAGTGGTGTGGGCCAAGAATATTAAATTTACCATGGACTGCCAGAGGAATGAACAAATCTATCTTGGAAATTTTGCCAGAAGGCACTTCATCTCCCGTGCTTTGGGCATGGCAGCAGGAGGGAGCAGTCCCTGGAAAAGGACATCACACTTGGTAGGGGTCAGCATAAAAAATGAACACTCCCAATGAAATGAACTGGCACAGCCATTGCTTGTGAATAGGGTCACTCAGAAGCAACTAGACAACACCTAACAGATATTACCCAGATTTTATTAAATTTTAAAGCTTTCAAAACTGAAGTTTAAGGCAAATTAAAAACTGAAAGTCCAAGATTGGAAGGAACCTTACAAAGAATGGTTGCAGTCACAGATGAATCATCTTACTTCCTTTTGTACCTTCTGACTGTGGTGTTCTGAATTAGGCACTGAGCTGCTGATTGTGTAAGGTCAGTGGTTCAAACCTACCCATCACTCCACAGAACAATGAGGAGGCTGTCTGTCTGCTCCCATGAAGATTTAAAGCCTTGAAAACCCAAAAGGGCAGGTGTCCTGTCTAGGGTCACTATTGAGTCAGAATCAATTCAAGGCAGTGGGCTTGGTACGGTGTCTAGTCAAAAAATAAAAACATTTAAAAAATAAACAACCCATTAAAAGCCATTTTCTACACTGCCTTGTTAACATTTTTGGATTTGTACTTTCCTTTCTTCAATAAAGGATGTAGCTTTAAGACACAAATACTTAAATCTTCTGCTAAAAATTTTGTAACTGCTTAAAAAAAATTCTCCTGATAATTTTTCACAGCTCAGAACTATCCTAAAAGTACACCAGTTGCAGTAGGCAAACCATTCAGCCAGCACGTCCTCTGACAGAAGCTTTACAATAAGCTATATGGGTTGCAACTAGGTTTGGCATTTTATTACTTTCTGGCAGTCAATATGGGCATCAAGGCTTCTATTTGACTAATTCTGTAACTTTCCCAAGTAGTTTTAGGCTCACCAGCCTATCTGTCTTAAGAACCTCTTAATGGTAAGGTACCTAAAAAGACAGCTTATCCTCATCCCTAAATGGATAAACCAAAGTAGTCTAGAATCTAGTTACCGAGCTGGGACTAGAATCTTAAGCCTCTGGAACCTATGTTTACCAACTGCCATATCCCCCTTAGGAGTCTTAAAGGACAAAGTGCACTCCGAAAAGCTTCAAGTTTGCCAAAACTGCAGCAGTGACTTCTAACAAAACACTTACCCCTTTTGGTTCTTTTAAGATAATGTGATAGCGGACGGACACTGTTGAGTTGTGATAGTACGGTTGGGAGGGATGCCGACAAGCCTTTTCAGATAGTTTAGAAAGTCTATTTATTATGTAACATTCACTCCATACAGCACATTCTTGCCTTCTCATCATCCAGTTACCTGGCTTATCTTCTTACGCACCCTGGCTACGGCCAAAGAGAATTCTCACACTGTTCTTTACTTCTGCTCTGAATAATTATAGCAAATGTACAAGATGGCAGTTGATGCTATTCATGACCCTCCAATGCTGCAGCAGGAACACTGAGATGCAGATTTTAAAGATCAATACAATTATTTTAAGAACAAACCAAAAAGTATTTTAAAAATTACACAAAATCTCCCACTTCTGAAATTACAGGTAAATACACTTTACTGGGTTGACCTTTGTCCTCCCAAGCTTTTAATATTCAGCTCAGTTTAACTTCCCTACCAGCACTCCTTTGTGTCATTTCCAGCAGTTAATTCACAAGGTTCATTTTCTTTAACCCTTCCTCCCTCCCCCAATGTGACTTAAGGTCTTGGGAAATAAGACTTAGCCAATTCAAGGACTAGGATACATCAATGTTGCCAATATTTGGCTTCTTGTCTGTTTTACATACATCTAAATTTAACTTTAAAAAAAAATAATTTTATTAGGGACTCATACAACTCATCACAATCCAAACGTACATCAATTGCGTAAAGCACATTTGTACATTCATTGCCCTCATCATTCTCAAAACATTTGCTCTCCACTTAAGCCTAAATTTAATTCTTACAACTCCATCACACCACTCTACCCCCATCCACTGCCCACCAGTCCATTCTGACTCATGGAAACCTAACAAGTGAAGAGTAAGAACAGCCCCACAGGGTTTTAGGTAAAGTTTAAAAGGGTTTTAGTAAAGCTTCCCAGAAGCAGACAGCCACATCGTTTCTCCCTGGGGTGGCTGGACTCAGCTGCAGACCTTTGGTTAGCAAACAAGCACTTAACCACTGTGCGATCAGGGGGTCCTCAAAAAAAAAAATACGGCATCAATCAACTGTTTTTCAAGAACTGACAGCAAAGAAAGCTAAGTACATTGTCCAAGCTCACATAACTAGCAAACGGGTCCAGGAATAATTTGAAGCAGAGCCTTAGACTTAACCACTACAACAAAACTGCCTGGCCCGTAACTCTAACCCCAATTGGATCATTAAACTAATGACCTTGGGCAAAGCATTTAGGGTTCTACAGAACCTCAGTTTCCTCCATTGCAAAATGAGTTGCACTTGGTAAGTTTTCGGGTACTCTCCTGCTTTTTAAAATGTCCTGTGAATCTGTGACTGGATTACTATCCCCAAACTCCAAATAGGTGCTATAAACTTTTTCAACCAATGCATGTTCCAGTACTTTCGGCCTCCTCTTCAGGGTTCTAGCGTCTAGCCTTCGCTTCAGAGTTTCATTCTCAAATATTCTGAACCGGTAACGCCAATTCTAAATAACATTCTCTCTCAATCCGCTATCACCTTTCCCCATTGCTAGAGGTAACGACTAGGCCCGACCCCATTCCAAACCTTTACCCGTTAACTCCAGTCCACCTCGGGGCTTTCCAGGCAGCCTGGAAGAGGGCAAAGAAAGCGCTAGGAGCAAAGCCACAGTAAGTTAGCTTTCCCAAAGGTCAAGGGAGGCTCTAGGGCACCTGCCACGCCTCCCAACCCCCGCGGCGGCGGCGCCGGGGCCTAGCTGCCCCAACGAAGCGCCCAGATCACGGCCTGGCTCCTCGTGGTCGACGTTACGTCCGGACTCGGGCCCTGAAAACCCCGCCCGACCCTCCTCGGCCGCGACCACGCCCGGTCCCTCGGCCGCGGCCGCAGCGACCACGGGCCGCCTAGGGTCCCCACAGGCCCAGGGGTGGGCACAGGCCTCCCGTCTCACCTCGAGCTTCCAGAAGACCACCGGCGGCGCCCGCGCCTCTACCCGCCCGCTCACCTGGGCCCGCGCTGCAGTGGAGACAGCGGCGGAGGAGGCCCGACCGTCACGTGCCGCAAAAGCAAGAGACCTAGGCCGCCGCTGCCGCTGCCTCGCGAGCTAGCCCCACTACACGAAGCCCGGCCCCTCGTCCGCCCCTCGCCCTGAGTGGCTGCCAGAGAAGCCAAATCCCGCCTCCCCGCGCAAGCGCCGCAGCTCGGTTGGCCAGTGTGGCCATCGCTCTCTGCACCTTCCCATACGCCCCCTAGGGCTATTCTTCGTGGAGGGTGGGGATTGGCTTTAAGTAAGGCAGGAAGTGGCTGCTGGTTGGACAGGAGATAGGGGGAAGGCCTCAACGGAATAGGTCAAGGCGGGCGCGGGTGTCCAGGGGCGGGGTCGTCAGCCCGCGTTCTCCCGCCCAGTTGCCAGGGTGTCTCAATGATCACGCCGCCCGACGTTTCTTCGTAATCTCTACGGCCTGGGCTCTCCGGCAGCCGCGGGAGGGAGTGGGAGGTCCCGTCGGCCATCCGAAAGGGCCAGGCCCACACGCAGCGAACTTGGGGCTCCAACGGGCGCATCTGAAACCCGGCCGGGGCTTGCCGGGAGTCTACCGCACAGCACTTTCTAACGGCCCCTAGTTACTGCAGAGTCATGACTGAGCTCTGGATCCTTAGGCCGCCTCGTTGCCTAACACAGCATGCACTTCAGAATGATATGTACAGAAGGGCTTCAAAATCTTGGTGGAAAAATTGAGTTTGAAGACCATGGAATTTTCCCTTAAGCTTTTTGAAGCCCTCTTCTATAATCCAAGGTTGTCAAGCTTTCCATTTGTGGGTTTTTTTTCTGCATGTGTGATTACACATAGGGGCACAAAGATATACTGGACAACAGGCTTGAAAGAAAGGGGGATGGCGCAATGGAAACATTAAAAATACAAAGAAATTTTTGTAACCTGCTTTTAGCATATCTTCAGTTTTTAATATGCTGAGAGTCTGAGAAAGTGGAAGCAGCATGAGTTTTTTTAGACTTCTGTTCCCCATTTGTGTACCGAAAGGCTGATTCCTAAGAAGGGAAAAATAGAAAAATCAGCCTCCTGCCACCTGCTGAAGTTTCAGTATTCAACTCTTAGCTACCAAATTGACATATGAGGATCTTGTGTTATAAGCAAGATAATATTCTGGATGTCAGATATTCCAAACACAGTTCAAAAGGATCAAGTATGTGAGTATAGGAGCAGATTGGTGCTAAAAATAAAAAGATGGCGATACAGAAATCAATTTAATGAAGCTTGAGTGGGATAAAACAGCCAGGGAAAGAAAGAGGAAGATGAGCTGAACATGGCAGGCTATGCAGGGCTTCTAAAGGTAACCAGTCAGAAGGCTTTTTTACATGAGGAAACAGCATATGCAAAGGTTGAAAAACTGGCCCATGTATTTGTGAACACTATGCAAAGTGCTGGAGAAGGATGTTCATGAAAATGAGGGATGGGATTTGAAAGATCAGCTCCTAAGTCAGGCTGGGAGCAGGCCTTAAAAGACTAGCCAAATAGTTGATAGGGATATTCTAGATTTTAAGATTGGGCCATGATTTAGGTGTCATGGGAAGTAGTATTTTGATATAATTCCAGAGACATCTAAAAAAGAGACTACTATGAGATCAGGAAAGTATGAGGTCAGTTGGAAACCTCCTCCAGTTGACG